ACACACACACACACACACACACACACACACACACACACACGTTTCGTACAAACGCTGAATGCACAGTGTAAAACTGTTGCTCCACGAAGACAAAGAGGCCCAATATATGAGCCATCTGTTTCGAGAACTCACGACTGTTTGGGGTGAACCAAGGAACGAAGAAAAATACATGTTATGCAATGATCACGGAATGAGTAAAAAATGAAGTGGAACTAACCGCGTATTTGTTTTTCAGGCTGAACCTTGTTCCACCGCTTCCGATTCAGGGACCAAACAGACTCCGGTCTCATTAGAGCCATAAGCCGAACTGCTGTCGGAATTGGATTCCCCGGTATCTGCGGATTCTCCATAGCTCGCACTGGTCAGTGCAGTGATATTCTTCCGAGCCAGGAGAGCCTGGTACAGACGGGTCGCATCGTTCGGTGAACGCATAACTAGCAAATAGGCCCGAAATTCCGGCTTGGATTGGGATTCCAAGGACTGGAATCAGAAAGTAGGTGAAAACGAAACCACAAGAAGACGAAAGAAATAAATAAGAGTTACTGGTCAAAGGTCAGAGTCGAGAACATAGATGGTCATTCGCAAAATTAGCCTGGGTCACATACAATGCTGCCTTGAAGAGCAGGTTGAAAAATTTTCTCACTGAACATCATCAGCCTTGAGCTTCACGATGGCCGATTACTTTATCCACAGAAATAACCGAACGATTGAAAGCTCAGCTAGTCAATTAGTTAAAAATTTGCCGAGTTATTTGTCAAGTGCAGAAATCCATCTGGTTTAGCAGAAAGAATAAAGCACTCAAATCCCTAAAACACGTGAGTATCCCAGGACTCTTAGAATCGATAACTCGCAATGGCTCTTAAAACTACCACCACATCGATCATTTCACATTCACGGACTCGACCAATCGAAAACTTCCATACGTGATAAGTATCACCAGGGCCCGAGACGCAACCAAAGATTCGCCGAATTTTTCAAATTAATTTATACTTGCTGTTCTATACTATTATTCATTATGATTAGTCTTATTATCATTACGCTCTAGACGATACAACTGAGACGAGGCTTAAGTGAACACCACGGGGGGATTAAGACCTCTTAACAAATGCTCATTCTTCACTAGGCCTAAATTCGCCACACTCTTGAATATCATTCAGATGCGTAAAGCAAGGCCTACTTTTATTATCAGGTGTTCCGCATAAAACCGAGTTTCCTACTTCTGACCTTACCCTCCCCCTTTGACCACTTATTTGATCCTGAGTGTCACTCTGTCACTTTTCCTATCAATTCAGATCGAGAATAGGGAGCAGTGCAATTTTCAGTATTGAAATATTGTTGAAATATTGTACCTGATTCACGTCTATTCTACGCATGTTACCAGCAGTTTACCTGCAGTTCTGGTTATCTCACGTACCTTTTAGCCCCGAATCCCGGATATAATAAGTGATACGTGCTTACCAAGTGTTTCCGAGAGTCAGACAAACAGTGGTTTTGTAAGTTTGAGATTTTTCAAGAATGCGTAGTGTGAGGTAACTTAAGATCAACGCACAGCGTAACACAATAAAGCGAACATCACTGATCGCTGCTTTAGATCGTGTCGGGTTTTTCATGGCCACGCCCATCACTGCCCTTGTCACTGTGGTATGTAACACTATTGTAATGGATGGACGGCAGTGGTTAAAATGTCACATGAGCCAGAAAGTGACGTTCAGAGTTGATCACCACGGCTTCATGATCCCACTTCTGTGTACCCCCCGTATCCCATGTGTGGCTGAAACCCGTATGGAAGATGACTGCACAAATGTTGGTTGGGTAAAAGGGAGTAAAAGATCAATCTAAAACAACGAAGGAGTTAATCTGGGAGATGGCGTTTTATTGACTTTCCCCACGGCCGTTTAACGGAAGACAACTTCCATATTACAACTGGTAACCCCTTATCGGGTTATTGCTTCAATTTACTCATTCGCACCTTCACCGATAACACAGATTATGTTTGAAGTGAAGTAGTTCTGTAACCGTCTATCAGACTTTTATGCCGGAATCTAGTCACCCAAAACAAATGGTCAAACCAACAGATTTAGCTGCTACGGCAAAAGGAAAAGAATAAACTGTCCGTGTTTGAACACCGCTGCCTGAACCTGGTGGGACAATCGGACAAGCAATGCCGAGGTTAAGCTCAGACTTAGGTAGCCGCAGCCGGCCACTAGGGGAAGTGATCGACTTCCATAGATTACGCTGTTTGGGGCATGTATTGCGCAAGTCATCAAATACAGTCAATCTCCTACTATGTCAAATCCCTGAGAAGTCACATTTTTCAATATCTTCCCACTTTTTCGAAAACCCAAACCAACCGTATGCTTAATAACGTAGTTTCTGACTATGCTATGTCTCATCCCTCAATACGTCGCAGTTCCTGATACGTACTCACTTGGTCATTGACCAATGTTCCGGACTACCATTGACCATCCACCCCGAAACGTCGCACTCAACCAATGGCGCTCATGGCACTGTTCACTGACTGGATAATCCTTGCGAGGAAGTCACACCGATGCAAGTGATCGGAGACGGTGTCATGTGATGTCAAAATGCACCAATCGATCAGAGGGAAGCAAAATGTGTTGGAAATGATGAAATGGCCAAGTGTAACTCAGAGCTCCGTAGCCAAGTCACTTGGAATTTCACGAAGAACTGTCTACAATGTTGTACCCATCGAACGACTATCGGGGAACGCTGGAGCATCTGAGGAGAGATGCCACCTGAAAACCAACGCAAGCAGTGAATGAGGCAACTTTGGCTTGGTTTACTGCTATGAGCGAAAAGAACGGAGAGTTCCCCATGGTGGAGAGCATCGTACGTAAGAAAGCAATCCAGCTAGCACACAGATTGCATCATACTGACTTCAAGGCTTCCAAAGGTTGGTTTCGCTCTTGGTCAGACAGATGGTATTCAATCGTACAAAGTAAGAAACAAGCAACATGTGCATTACTTTATAGGTCCGTGGGGAAAGTTTAGCGGTACCACGTGATGCAGTGAACGAGTTTCGAGCGGGGTTACGGCGGTCAATCCATGGATATGCTGACTGTGATATTTTCAATGTGGATGAAACAGCTTTGTATTGCAGGCAGCTCCCAGAAAGAACATTAAGGATGAAAGGAAAGACAGTTTCTGGGTTAAAGAAATATAAAGAGAGGGTCACGTTACTGCTTTGTGGGAGCATGAATGAAGAAAAGTTAGCACCGTTGGTGATTGGAAAGTTTCGAACTCCACGGTGCCTCAGAGGAATAGATGGAAAAAGCCTTTCATGCAGTTATAATTCTTCCAACAGCGCATGGATGACTTCTACGTTGTCTCACAGTTGGCTGTCCGATGTCAACCGCAAAATAGTTTCTCAAAGGTGCTCTATTTTATTATTTATGGACAACGCCCCTTGCCATAACCAAGCCGCAGTATTGTCCAACGTCAAATTGGTATGGCTGCCTCCGAACTGTTCTTGAACGTTACAACCAATGGATCAGGGCGTGATTTGATCTTTCACATGTTCGTTTTGGAAACATTTACTGGAATATGTTTCGCCTTTGATCGAAGATGAGCAACTTATCATGAAAGCCGAGATGGACCTTCTCGTGGCCCTGCATCTAGTCAAGAAAGCTTCAGTGTTTGTGCATCTGATTGTACTGATCAACGCTTTCATGAAAGCTGGGTTTAAATCCACATTGATTCAGCTGGTGTTGTAGCCATCAGAGGATAAATACAATTTGATCGAGGACTTTACTCATTATGTATATTGATGACTGTCTTTAAGAGGAAGAAATCGCCTGTTTGGAATTTGATGATGAAGAAGTGAGTTATTTAAAATTTTGTATCAAGTCTCATTTTAGTCATTAGATGAATTCGTTTCCAACCAAGCTAAGCAGCGCAAAGAAGAAGATGAATGTGAAGCAGTGAATGCGCCGGAAGTTATCTCAATTAGAGAGGCGCTGAAGTTATTGTTTGGCTAATACACTGAGTTTGGGTCGATTATTAGAGTGTACAATTGATTTAAACAGCGCGTTTGTTGATTTTCAAAGGAGCCAAACTGAAACAAACGACGATTTATGATTTTGCTAAAAATACATCTTTGTAATCTGCAAAGTTTTGTTTGCAATTCCGTGGGGCACTGAACAGAACTATGGAGCGCTCGAATGTTGTCATTTTTGCTACAGTGGTCACCAAAGCCACGGTCATTCGGTCTATCGATGGGCTTTGTCGCACTAACGCGCAAACGGGTGAACGACATTTGCGACTGACTGGCAAGCGGGTGAGTGGAGTGAGATGTCAGATCCCAGCGATCAATAAACATCGTGTGTGAATGAACGAACGATACTCTCAGCTGTCCTAGAGCACCGATGAAATTACACAGGTCACTAGCCAAAGGTCATCGTAACCCGGGTTTAAGGACAGCTTGTGAGATGGACTTTTAGTTTATGAATCGTTGATTGCTTGAGAGTTGACGTAATTCCTGTAGGGTGGCGTCTATGGCTGAACAGGAGTGAATTTCTTTCAAGTAAACTCCCGTCTCACGCCTGCCGGAAAATTTGCACGAGAACCCGCTTAAAAAATAGTGTGTCTTAGACGAGTCAAACGTTGGTCCAGTATCATCATCGCTTGAACTTTTTCATTCCGAATCTCCCACATGACGCATCGTTCCACAACTGATTTTCCTGTGGTGATTCTCTACCAACACTTAAGCAGCATCCGATTCAGAACTTATCGACCTCCTATGACAGTCCGAAAAGCACACGACCGATCGGGTTCATTTATTGATCGATAGGATACGTAACCGCAACAAGAGACCTGGTGCTTGCCCACCTAACCCAAGCGAGAAACCACACCGTGTCTACAACCGCGAGTCTTTAACAGGACCAGTGAAATTTTGCTGTACAGCAGGCGTTCCTTGACCAAACGGATGGGCTGCATATGACAACAGGATCATCACAAAAAGTACAAGACAATATGAAACGATGGAGTAATCGGACTATCTTACTATCCGCATAGCAACATGACACTAAATTCATACTCGGGCATCTTAAATTGAAAAAGGTATGGCTAATGGAACACATTATAGCATCACGTGGTGAACTTAGTCCGATCGACGGTCATGATGAATGCATTAATCGGTTTGAACATGCATTGGTTACAATAAAAGCGAACGAACGAATAGATACCTACAGACGCTAATGATACACATTTTTCACTAGAAAATCATGAATAGAATGTACAGCAAACAATCAGTTTGAATATGGGAAGGAAGTTAATGTTCCCAGTATACCCCGTAACAGCTATTTCACTCATTTTAGTTGTTATTTCCCTCTCACTGTATTCGAACAGGTTCACCTTTATTTTCCTTGAATAAGTTAATGATGATGTGATTATTATAGCTAAAACAGTTGTTTATTATGGTGGGCGTCATGAAATCAATTATTTGGTAAGCCTAACATTGCAACGAAATGGAGCAATATCTGGAATTAACATGGGATAATTGGGTCAGAAAAAGTCTCCCTGAAGAAAAGTAGGCAGTTTCGGGATGACTAGACACACGGAACTGAAAAAGGTCTGAATACCGCATGCAATGTATCGATGTCAAGCTAAGGGCGTCATAAAATATTTAAACTTCTTCAATACATAAAGCACACACAGGACGGTAGATCTAAATTCCGTTATAAATAAATAGTTTATAGCTATAAACATTGGGAACAACTAACGGGATTAATCTACTTTTCATTGATCCGGTTTATTTCGTCACAGAACTGTCAACCGATTTTCATACTACTTATTAGCATCTACTACTGTTTACCCTGCTATGTCGCAGTTCCTAGAATTCATCCACTTCTTCGAGTTCCCGAAGGGTGCGACATAGCAGGAGATTGACTGAAGATTACTATGGCCAAGGTAGGTAGTGAATAAAAAACGATCAAAGGTGGTCAAGCAAAGATTTGATATGATGGTATGTAAACCCTAACCAGGAGACTCGGTCATAAAGGTCGCGCCAGGCTCTCTGGATTGGGACTTTAAGATGACGGTGACCGGTGGTTTGAGATACTAAGTGATGTGGATGAATGTCGCAAACAGTGGTGCACGTGCGTCTACTCATTATTATGACAAATCTAGTCTATATAGGTTCTCTATCTTGCCTTGACTTTGCTCTCAAACTTCTAATCTTCCTTTTGCTCTATTATCCAAATGGGCAGCCTAAAGACCGCAACCAAAACCGCCGCATGAATATGCGTGGCTAGTGGCTGCAAAAGCTGAACGGAACTATACCAACACAATGCGTCCGAATTTTTTGACAAAACGACTTTTTCGAGCAACATCGAAAAAACTTCCAATTTTTGACGTTCGTCTTTTGCGACACAACTTGACATCATAAACAGAAAAATAAACCATCAGCTGACTCGAATTTACCTGACGTTCTGCTCCAGGCATTTCTTCACCAACTGCAGAACAAATTGTAGTCAGTCGGATTGACCGCTCGTCCGCCATTGCCGCGGTCAACCCAGACCACACAGGTGTGTTAGCCAACAACTTGAGCGTTTTGCAAACCCGAGCAACCAATCGGGAACGTGCCGGTGGCCCTGTGGGAGGTCGTACGGTAGCCGTTAAGGAGGTATCGTTTCCGACCTTCGAGAGTGGGATATCATTCAGATGAACATAGGCATTGCCTTTTTCCACCCACAGCTGTTTTTCTCGATCAAAGTCATAGAACCGACAATAAGTCTTGAGCACGGTGCATTCTCCTTCTTCACCCGTCACTATAGGCTCTTGGGGAATTTCGCTGGACAGTGGCGACGATTTCTCGCGTAGCTCTGCTGCTACTGCGTTGGCCGAGTCCGTGAGGGTGGTTAGACATGGTGTAATTTCTACAATTTCGTGATCCTCACCGGTATCCTGCCCGCATGTCCCACTAGAGGTAGAAGTTTCTTTTGACAACGGCATTACACTTGCATTAGTCACACGTTCGGAGATGTTTTGTCCGAATACAAAATTACTGGAAACAGTATTCGTTGTTGGTAAATTGACCAAGGGTGGAGTTGGAGTAGGAGTACTATTCAAGGGCTGGGGTAGATTGTGCTTCTCCTCGACAGACACTTTCGGTTGAGATTCCATACTAGTTTTGTCAGTGCACAACCGTTTTACCACTGGATCTAAAGCGGNGGACCGCCTAATCCAACAGTCCCCGCGGACATCGGTGCTACCGATGAATGTTGAGAAGTGGACGCGCTTTCAGAAGTACAGAGGATAGATGGGCGGAATACAGAGGGATTCGGTGCAACTTTTGGTGTCAATGCCTCAGATGTATATGCTGATGAGCAGGGTATCTTGGAAGAAACTGGAGCACCATCATCAGCGGGTGCCTCTATAGAGCGTTTCTGACCGGCTAATCGACTAGGACTTGGTTCCGTTTTGGCATTTTCGACGGCGCGGGCCTTGCGAACATTAAGTGCAGTACAAATCTTGGAAGCAGAGTCATCTGGGGAAAATTTGAACAGATAACTACGTAAGTGACCACCGTCTTCATTCACTGCTCCTATTCTCAAACTACGTGAGTCTACCAGGGCTACCGGCATTGTGTCCCACACCGGTGTGTTGATGATCACACGTCTGGTGGACATGAGGCGTACTACCACGCGTGAACGACACTTGGATACCTTTTCTCCTGAGCTTCCATCTGATTGTTTCGGTATATCATTCAAATGAAAGTGAGACGCTCCAAGTGGGTTCCAACGCTGCTTATCGGTATCAAATACGTAAGCTTGACAGTGCATTCGGAATACTTGTATCTCACCTTCCTCCCCAGTGAAAACGTCCACTTGTGCCAGATTAACAGTAGCATTCTTCTGATCCTCAGTTACTTTGCTTGCAGATGCCTCCAAAGTTTGTTCTTGTGAGCCATTCTCGTCGCGCTTATTCGAAGCTACCGCCTTTGCTAAGGCAGTGAAAACTGATGTCGAAGAGTCAACCTCTGTGGTGGCGGTGCTCCACAAATTGGAAGATGCTCCATGCGAAACATCCGCATTCACAACACGAGAAGATATATTCGATCCAAAAACATATCCACCAGGAAGATTGTTATCTTTCCGCGCGGCCGCCACAGGAGGAGCAGCAATAGAGGGTTTTGAGAGGAAACAACTGGTAGATAGCCCTAATGATTTAGTAGAAGGAGCGGAAGTTTCCTCAGGCTTCGTGGAGTCCCCGGGAGTCGCAAATGGCTTCAGAGGGAAATTGAGGATAGACGGACGGAAGACCGGGTGTTGCATATCTGATGAGCCATTAGATGAACAAGTGCTGGAAGAAGCTGAACCAGGTTTTTCATCCATCGAACGAGAGAACTAAAATCAAAGCAGAAACGACAAAGGTTTTTTAAGTCAATAATGAATGTAAAAGATAGAAAAAGGAAGAAACTGAATCGATTTGATGCAGGCAGACAAATGAGATATGTGGCAAAAATTTTAGATACGGACATTTATTCAGTTAGTCTCCAACAAACTGAAACGAAAATTACGACTAGGTATTAAAGATAATATGTACAAGGACAAACTGGCATCACCTATCAAACAGGAGCAGAATATTACCGCGCACGGGACCCCAGGGCGCCCGGTTTTGCAACTAATCTGATTGACTGTCAATTTCCGATGCGCCTAATTGGTAATAGACACCAGCCACTAGTAGTTCACCGTGCAGTCGGTAAAGCAAATCTGATTCCAAATCAACCAGGAGGCAAATAGGTGACACCAACAGCTTGTCGGAT